CTCATATTTCTCTTGTTTTGTGCTGCAGGTTGAAGGAAGATCGGAGAAGAAAAATTTTGTAGCTATTGTGCATATCTTCATGGTTAACATGTGTCTCCCTGTGGTTTGACATTGACTTTGTTTATTGTTTATTGTACACACACCTCTTCAATCTCCTCAACATAATAGCGACAGTCCCAGACACTACATTGCAAAGAGAGATCAAATATCATCTGTAAGACTAGTTACATAACCCAAAATATTTTGATCATATAACTTAAAATTTGTTTTAACAGTTTGCACTTCAGTTTTCAATAAACCAGGAAGAAATGAACTAGTCCAGATGGAAAATAGGCTAGTATGTACAGAGTGAGTGAAGAAGAAAGGAGGGAGTAAATGAAGGAAAAAGGTTGGAAGGAAAGGAAAGAGAAAAGAAAGATAAAAATGAACATTGGAAATGAGATAGGAATTCCACGACGTTATTGTTACATCTGTAATGGACAGGGTAGGATGCTTGAGAGGTTAACCGGGGAAGTAACCACAAAGAAGGAGACGGAGAGAAGTTTAATTCGTGATTGGAGGAAGCTGTAAGAACGCAAAACCTATTGATAAGATGATAGAAACTTATCTTTGAAACCTCCGTGTATAATTTTTAGTGGCAGGAAGACCTTATATGATCATGAGTATATTATTTAACCAATAGCCCTAATTAATTCTTATTCTTCAGGGAGGAAGAATAAAGATGATCACCTACAAGAAATGGTGACAATTCCATGAGGTCAAAGGGATAGGGCAGGGGATATAGCTCAGTGGTACAAGTACCTGTCTGGCAAATACAAGGTCCCGGGTTTGATTCCCTGTACCAAAAAAACAAAAACAAAAACAAAACAACAAAAAAAAAACAAAACCCAAAAGGATGGTGATATAGGGCCTGAATTCTGGCATGTACTTAGTTGATTTTCTAAGGGCAACTAAAGAAGAAACCACCCTTTCCCCAAAACGGTCCAAAAATTGTCTTCATTAATGGAGATGTCCTGTAACCTGTGCTCTCCAATGCATTCGACACTAGCCATGGGGCAATATAGAAACACTTGCGTTTAAGAAAATCGAAAAGTCATAGAAGATTGTTCTAAAGAGAACAAAATTGAAATAGAATTGTTGGATAAGTAGCAGTGAATGATGGCAGAAAAAAGCCCTCACCACTTCTAACAGGCTGAAGTAAATATGTGGACGTACTGAGGTGGAAAAGAAAGTATAATATTATTAAAATAAATACATAACAAAATTTACAGGTATTTTGGAATGGAAAAAGTGAAGATTGAGGGTAGATGATATGAAGTGATACTGAAATGTTAGGGGGACAGTAAAAGCTTTGCAAAGCTTTGCAAAAAAGAAGCTCTGTTTTTGTCCTGAATAGTCAAAATATTCATTTCCATAGCCAGTGAAAGATTTCACATGGTTCTTATTAGAATGCTGGGTTACAAGTATTGCTACAGAGCCTAACATGAAATTGGTGGTTTTGATAACTCACTGTCCAGACTCTCATATTGCCTCCAGCCTTATTGTGTTAAGAATATTGGCTACCAGATCAAAATGCAAAAAAAACAGGACCTATATCTCCCACAAGAGTAAGTTTTGGGGCTAGAGGGGCAATGATTCAGCAGTAGTGCACTTGCCTAGAATGTACAGGGTCCTGGTCTAATCTCCAATAATAGAAAGAAAAAGAACAAGTTCACACTCACTATGATGAATATGATAATTATGTATATCTAAATTCCACCAATAAGCTTAATAAAAATAGTAAGTTAAGATGGATTAAGGATGCAAATGTAAAAGCATACACCTAGAAGCATTAAGTGTAAATGATTACTTATCCAAATTTGAGGTATGTAGAAAAAAGGATGTCCAGAGAACAATAGTCTACCAAGAGTTCAGAGAAGGTTGATCAGTCTTCTTGGGTTGAATCCCATCATTTAAAAAATTGAAAATAAGAAAGGCCCTGAAAATACATTGCAGCACATAAAACTAGTATGGTTGAGTATTTCTTGCTAATAAATGATATAATGGACTCAATGATTTTATATATTATCACATTTAATCTTAAACATCTCCTATGAGTTACAGTTATTAGACCTCTTATTTTAGATGGGCACACTGATACTCAGAAAGGTAAAAAAAAATTCTCAAGTTTCAAGGAAATTGTGTTTATTTAGCCTCAAAATCCAGACACTGTAACATGGGATTGATGATATTATCTTTATCACTAAATGAATGGGAATATAATTTTTTTCTGCTTCAAAACCTTTAATTGATTTATAACATCCAGACTTTGTTAGGATACAATGTAAATCATTTTTTTCTTGTCTGTAGGGGGAATATGTTAAAATATCTATCAAAACTTAGATTCCACATATGTTATGGTAATGATTGTAATTATGCCAGGGAATCCGTAGGAATACAGAGTACTATTGCATCTAATGATGTGAACTCATAATGACATAATTCCCTAAATTTGATTCAAACAAAATTCTTAAGTTATATATCAGCCTTCTATGGTATTTTAAGCAATTGTTACAAAAGGATGAGTTTCTTTTAGAAATTTTGACAAGTTAAGATACCCATTACACATTGTTAACCAAAACCAAAATACTAGGAAAGTTGCAGAATATTTCTTATAGTAAAATTGCATCAGTAAATTTGTTTAATGAATTATATAAATAAAAGAATTTTTCTTGACAGTATATACATACAAATGTATCTGTGGTGAATGCACAGAAAGAATATATGATAGAATATACTATACATGTTTCATACCATTTAATTTGAAAGTAAGAGTGAGAATGTAAGCTTGTTTGGAAACCCAAGTGCCATTCCATATGTAACTACGTAGTACTGTGACACTTGAATATTATGACAATAAGCATACATTAATTTTAAAAATAAACAGAGAAAACTGAAGTCTAGACTCCTCTTTTGATATATTAAAAAGTATTTAAAATATTTTACTCATTTAGTCTGCTCTGTGCAGGCAGAGATGTATACATGAATGAAAAATCACCCCTAACTAGGGGTCCAATTCTGTAATAGTTCAATTCTGAATTTTACCAATCCCAAAGGAATTGAGAGAAAATGATCCCTTGTGTATATGCAGAGTCCAAGTGTATATTGGAATAGGAAAATTAAGCACAGCCAGAGGGGAATCAGGTTGTTTGTCCTGTCTGGTTGGTGCGCTTTTGCCTTTACTTCACTGTATGGCTTGGCTTTGTAGAAAGATATGTCATGGCATCTCTGCTTCTCCTGAAGTTGTTTCTCTTGCATCCTTTCTCTCTTCAATGCAGTGTTTTTATGACATACAGAGTGACAAGAGAAGGTAAATTTGTTTTTTTTGATGTGCTATTTGGTCTTTATTCATCTAGGCAATGTCTAAATAATTCAGAATCTTACAGCAATAATCCCACGAAGTTTACTTTTAGAAGTCTCAGGATTACAATAGTGAGTCTTGGAGTTCATGTCAGAGCAAAGTCTCTGTTTGTATGGAATGAAAATAAGTAAAAGTGAGCTTTATTCTTATTTTTTACCAACACTGCTAGAAATCCTGTGTGAAGTTCAGCCAGTATGTTCTCTATGTAGGAGTTTTTAATGTAACATGTTGCAGCAAGATTTAACTAAATGACAAAGCCCCCAAATTATGTTATGAATACAGCACATTAATACTTTAAATAAATCAAGAAAAATTTGGGATTATTTTTCCTGGGTATTATCAGATACATCAGAAATTATACTTCATATTAGTCAATAAATGTGCTTTTGTCTGTTATCCAAAAGTTCATTTCATCAAAAACTTTGCAAAGATCCTTCAATTACCATGTTAGCATACTTAGTAATATCAATTTTAATATTTTCAGTTTTTTCTAAACACACTTAGAGACCCTACCTTTCAAATGTCATTTTCTAGTATGTTCATGAATATGTGTATCCTTTAAAAAAAAGGACTGCTGATATTAAGAAAAATAAAAGAATAAATAACAATACCACGTTTATTACTCAACACCTGCAAAACCATCAAGTTCTTGCTGTAGAAGCTGAGGTCTCATATCACAGACATAATGCTACTTATTCATGATAAGGAAAGAGAACAGGAGAGATAGAAGTCACAAACGTCACAGCTGAGAACTCTGGTGTCTGTAAAGCAAATTGTATGAAAGAACTTTATTATTCTTAGAAGCTAGTTTCAGGAAGGAGACTACTATATATTTTGGCATCAAAAATTTGCCTTGTGATTTTCTTACTGTCCTCAGAAATACATAAGATCAATATTACAAACTGAGTATACTACAATAGTCAGTTGTTAAGCAATGGCCATAAAAATACTGTATTGTGTAATGCAACTATATTATTGGGCTCTGGTTTGTGAGTTTTAATTAATTTCTCTGGCCTTTGTTTTCTTATTAATAAATTAAGTGTACTCTTGATTCCCACCAAGACCCTTTTCATTCTTATTTTTGTGCTATCAACCACACTTTATTTCCACCACCATGCTTAAATAATATATGGGAAGAATAAAAATTATCATCAGTATTATTAAGCTATTATTGTAATTAGATCATCAATTTCCACAAAAATAGTGTAAAATTTTAAGTGACATCAAATTAAAAGAAAAAAATGCCTCACTTCTAAAATATACAAATTTGGAAGCTGGAGAAAAAATTTCAATATTATTGTGGAAAGCCATAATTCAAAGGTATATTGCACATACAAAAATAATTTATTACATAAAGAGATTTTTTTTGCAAAAAATTACCACTGAAGGATCTTTAAACATGACCAGTGAATACAAGATTTTGTTTTGTGATATAATGAGTAGGTATAATAAAAATGCTAGTAGATATAAGAGCCTGTTGCTTCATTTCACTGGAGATAATTTCCTCTACACTTAAAATTTCAAATCTTTCACATTAAGCACTTTTTATTTTGCTTCATTTTTCAGCAATCGATACTGTTGAACGAAAAATAAAATCAGTATGAGAAACCACACAATGATTACCGAGTTTGTACTCTTGGGTATATCAGAAGACCCAAAACTTCAGGCTGCCATTTTTATCTTTTTATTTATAGCTTACATATTAAGTATCGCTGGAAACCTGACCATTATTATTCTCACCTTGTTAGATTCGCAGTTAAAGACTCCCATGTACTTCTTCCTCTGGAATTTCTCCTTCTTGGAAATCACATTCATTGTTTCCATCCCAAGATTTTTGTATTCAATAATTACTAAAGTCAAGACCATTTCCTATAACAACTGTTTAGCTCAATTATTTTTTGTCATCTCCCTGGGTGTGTCTGAATTTTATCTTCTAACTGCTATGTCCTATGATCGCTATGTGGCCATCTGCAAGCCTCTGCACTACACCACCATCATGAATGAGAAAATCTGTAACCTTCTGGTCTTCAGTTCTTATCTGTCTGGGTTTCTGACTGTTTTCCCACCACTCATGCTTATCCTCAAGTTGGATTTCTGTGCTTCCAATGTCATTGATCACTTCGGTTGTGACTACTTCCCCATCTTACAGCTGTCATGCTCAGACACATGGCTTTTGGAGATGATTGGCTTTTACTTCGCCTTTGTCACTCTGCTTTTCACATTGGCATTGGTGATTCTTTCCTACATATGCATCCTGAGTACCATTGTGAGAATCCCTTCTGCCACTCATAGGAAAAAGGCTTTCTCTACCTGCTCCTCTCACATGATCGTCATCTCCATCTCTTATGGAAGCTGCATATTCATATACATCAAGCCTTCTGCAAATGAAAGAGTATCATTAACCAATGGGGTAGCTGTTCTCAGTACTTCAGTTGCTCCCATATTAAACCCTTTTATTTACACATTGAGGAACAAGCAAGTACAACAAGCCTTCAAAAATTTGACTCAAAAACTAGTGTTTTATAGAAACAAGTGGAAGTCATTATAAAAAAATGAAACTTGCTATGAAGATTCAATAAAGGAAAATGATTTAGTTCTCTTCGAGTGTCATGTATCCACTGCACAACCTTTGGCAACGCTGAAGTTATTAGCATCTGCTTTCTCTCAATCTGAAAGTGAGCATGTTGTGTTCTCCTTTAAAACTACCTGAAATTGTCTTGTAACTTTTTTTTTCAATTCTTAATATAAAAACGTGACTATGGAACATAAATCACTTTACTGGTTATTTTTAATAAAACATTTTATATGTTAAAATTTTAAAGGAATCAACACTTTTAAAATACATTTTTTCTACTCTGTTACTAACATAGGTTTCCTTTTAGTTAAAATATATGCAAAAAAATTACCAATAGGTACAATGAGCCTTTTTGCATTCTATCTATGGTAACTTTAATTTTATACACTCATCTGAGGGCCATAGGTATTTTTTTTCTATGTATAGGTAATCTGAAGTTCATAATATTCTCTTTTTTCTAGTAGCACTTAATATATGTTATAGCCAGCTTTATATGTTCCTTTCTACTTGTATTTGTTTTTGAGAATATATAAAATGATGACTATCACATAGTCATGCTACTGTTATGCAACTTTGCAATATGATGGAAAATTCCTAAACAGTGATAGCTTTTTTAAGGCAATTACTTATTCTATGGTAATTTTGCATTAGGTGCATTTTATATAACACTTAAGTTAATGTCTACAGCTAAATGAAAATAGACAGGTTTAACTTTGTTTCATAAACAGGAAATTGATGCTCAGAAATGTTACATGGCTTGGCTAAGGTCATTGAGGAATGGTAGCCAATGTTAGCCTGATTAAAAATTCAAACTGCCAGCCACAATGGTGTGTGCCTATTATTCCAGCAAGTAGATGTTTTGAGTGATCCCAAATTTGACGCCAGTCTGGATAACATAGCATGACCCTCTCTCAAAAATAACAATTAACAAATGGCTGGAGATGTAGCTCAGTAGTATAGTGTGTGTCTGACATGTTATTTTCTCCACACTGCAAAAAAGACAGATTAAAAACCCACTTTTTCCTATATTCCAACTGCATTACCATTACATTATCTTATTTGCATGTGACCATGAGATTATCATCTTTTGTGGGGTGGTAATAACTCCTGATATTATAGTGGCATGTAAATTATAGCATTAATCAATTAAGAAGAGAAGCCCTGCCTCTCTTGTTAAGCAGTAAAGAGCAAGAAAAAAGTAAAAATTGCAAGCAATGTTAGAGCAGCAAAAATTCTTAAGAGAGTAGATGTTTTACAATGGAAATGTTGAATGTATTTAGTACAAAGAAATGAATTCTCAGTTTGAAAAATGTCATGGACCATAAGGTAGAGATCTTCATTAAGAATTAATTTTTTGTACTGTGTTGCTATGTCTGTTCTTAAAATAATGCAAAGACCAGGAGAGGGAGAACTTCACACTTAGTGTTGTTATTTGATTGATGTTATATTTTTCTGTCTCTTCAAACACTGTCCCCCAAGAGGCCATTCCCAATTTCCATACTAACATGTATTGTGTTTCGTATTCCTTTGTGGTTTGTGCACATTCCTCTTCTGACAAACTTGATTCCCACAATTTGTCCATTGAATTAGTTGCAGAGACAATCAATAAAAGATTATGTAGCTCATTGTACATCAAATCTACTCAGAAACCATGCCAAAGAATCTTAAAACAACTCTTGGTGTTTTTTCTATTTTCTACTTTTGACCTTTCCTCAGTCTCTGCATTCAAAGAAATAATCCACTCTGGATAAATAGAAAAATTAAGATAAAAACTTTGTGAACAGAAAGCAAACAAGTCCAGTAGAAGAAAAAAGAAAATAGTTTTAGAAATTCTGGTCTCCCTTAATTATAAAAATGGCATTGAGTATTATTTTCATTATTCCACTCATTCAGAATTTTAGTGAAATTATATGAACTTCAAAGGTTAATGGACACATAGCATTGGAAACACTTAAATTTCGGCCTTGAGTCTATACTTCATAGCTCATCTTTTAACTGAATTATTATATTCTGAACCTTGACATACTAAAAGATATATAAAATGGTAAGAATGTTTTTATACTGGTTTATTCATCTTCAACAATTAAATGCAGTAAATGTCTATTCCTGTGTCACTATTTTTAATCAAACACAAGCTATATGCGTGATGTGTCTTAGTTCTATGTACATTTCATTTGCTTATGAATGAATGGACAGTAGTTGATCTTTCTAAGGCTCCGTATCTCATTTGAGGATAAAGATAGAATATCTGTCACTGAAATTTTAGGGGTAAGTGAGATAAAATGTAAAATATAATAGTTTTTGTCAATAGAATATAGAGTGCCTCTAATAAAGCTGAGAAACAATCCTAACTAGCAGAAAAAAAAATTCTCTTCATAGGGCCTAAGTGGCACAAAATTATGGAACACATCTGTTTAAATTTAATTTAATTTTCAAAACCAATTCCAGATTTGAAGAGAAATAGAGCAATAGAAGTTAAAGGAGTTCATCCAAAGTTCCAAATCCGTTAAATTACCAAATTGTATCTTTCATCTTTTTCTCTCTGATAGCAAAGCCAAAATACTTTCTGTAATACTAAATTAAACTTACATCAGACATGAGAAATTCATAGTACTTGATATAATATTTTCTATTATTAAATTTGTTCCTCATCTCAATTATTCATGGCTAATTAATGAACTATAAGTATGAAGTTCTGAAGAGACATTGACCTTGCAGATATTTGCATTCTGATGCATAAAATTCATTAGTAATAAAAATTATTATTAAATGTGACTTGTCAGCCTCTGTTTCCCTTACATTGTTCCCATTACACAGCAGAAAGGATGCCCTGAGAAGACTAAAGCCAGAAGCCATTTTAAAACAGGTCCAATTATTAGGGATTAATCCTGCCTAGGAAGTGAAAGTCTTTGAGAGATTGTAGTTGGAGCTCAGCGTTGATGCCCCACCTATTGACTGGGTCGGAGAAGGCCATCTGCATCAGTCTTGACTGAAGGAAGCGTGAAAAGAGCCTAGTGGGAGGTTTGAGTAGAAAGAGCACAGGTTACAATGGAGAATGAAGTGGAGAGTGTAGGAGGTCATGCTTTCGGTGACTATAAGAAAAAGCAGTGTGCTTAAGTACAGTGTGCATTTGAGAGGGTTGCAGACAGAGGACTCTGTCCTCATGGCCTCCTCTCCAGCACAGATTTTGATGGTTTAACTTCTTCGCATTTTCTCTAAGGGTACTCAAGGATCCACAGCTCAACTGATTTGGCTTGGCCATTTGCTGTGCCCCTAGAAACACCATCTAGACCCAACACAGCTGTGGATCTATCCAACTGGAGTATCCCACAGAGTGCCAAGGTACTGGCAGAGCAGAGTACTCAAATCTAAACAGGTTTTGCTACCAGGTGCACAGACCCAGCATCACAGGAGAGTAATCATTCTTACCCTCTGTGGTCCAGAGCAAGCCAAGCCCAGGCTGGTCATATCAGCTGCTCTGTTACTTGTTATGGTTTTGGATGCCCAGATAGAGGTGGTGGGACACATATACTACCATACTGCATACCCTAGATGCTTCTGAGGCTGGACCACAAACAAGGGCTATTGTCATCTACCCCACACCTGAAAGACTGTGCATTACAAACCAAATTTCTTACCAGGATAAATTTCTGAATAGTCTTTTTGTATCTTCTTTTGCTGGAGGATGTGCACCTTCCTAAAATGGTATATTCTACCAGACAGTGCTAGAGTGCAGTTGCAGCCTTGCTTCTTATTCTGTCTACCTCTATTTCATTTCTAGATTGCACTGTTTTTCTACATCCTTCAAGTTGTGCTCATACGAGGTCCCCTCCCCAATCCCTGCAGAACCACACCTGCTGAACTTGGTGAGTGTCCCCAGTGACTGTGAGCGTTGCTGCCTCTAGTCTGCAGTGCTTATTATTCAATCTAGTGATTTTTAGCCTTGGTTCTCTTTAGCTGGTATACTACACTTATTGATTTGTGTATGATGAGCCATCCTCATAGGTCTAAAATGAAACTAATTTAATCATTATGTATGATCTTCATAATGTATTCTTGAATGATATTTGCAAGAACTTTGAATGCTTTTTGCATGTGTGCTCAACAAGTATATTAATCTGTAAATTTATTTTCTGTTGTCTTTATGTGGATTTGAGTCCATGGTGAAAATGGTATTATGGAATTAATTTGGAAGCATTCTTTCCCCTCTATTTTGTGGAATGGTCTGAGAAGCATTGGTATAGTTATTTCAAGTTCTGATAAAACACGGCTGTGAATTTTTCCAGTGATGGGCTTTTCTTTATTGGGAGACTTTTTTAAATAGTTGTTTTCATTTCATGGTTTATCACTGATTTCTTTAGCTTCACCTATATCCTCTTGGTGCAATTTTGGTTTGTTGCATATGTGTAGAAATTTATCCATTTCTTGTAGGGTTTTCAATCTATTGAAAATATGTCTGCAAAATAGTTACTAATTCCTCTGGTTTGCAGTGGTATCTATTATAATACTGCTTTACTTGTCACTGATTTTCATATTTGAAGTCTTCATTCTACTTTGGTTAGTTTACCTGCAAGTTTATCAATCTCATTTACTTTTCAAATAAACACTTTTCTTTCACTGATTCTTTGTTGTGCTTTTAAATTCTATTTCATTGGTTATAATCTTTATTATTTTTCTATAATTGGCTTTAAGTTTGTTTTGTTCTTGATTTGCTAAGACCTTGAGGTGCATTATTAGGTTATTTATATTAGACATCTCTGTCTTTAATATAAGCACTTATGGCTATTAATGTCTTTCTCAGAATTGCCTTCACTATATTCCAAAGATTCTGGTATGTGGTGTTAATTTTGTCATTTGCTCCTAAGAATTTGTATATTTCTCCTCTTATTTCTTCAGTGATTCACTGATCATTCAAATGTGTTATCTAATATATGCATATTTGTGTATTTTCTGTTGGTTTTCTAGCTGTTGAT